CAACGGGTGTAGGCTCTTTAGAAATTTTACAAAATTAATGATAAATTAATATGTGGCAGATATTAGATTTTAAAAAAAAATTAATGGTAACTTAATATGTGGCAGATATTCGATTTGTTAAAAGTTATACAATATAAAACTAAATGCTTTGTGTTATATTCTTTGGTTGCCGTAAATTTCTGCCAATGTCTTCAATGTAATTACGTGAACTGATTGCAGTAATGTCATTTTACTTCTATATTGGTCAAGATAAATACTCAATCGCACATTACTCCGTCGGATTTTTTTTCTTTAAATTTCATAATTTATTTCATATCTTATTTGATGTTTGATGTTAGTTGCAGGCATGACATTATTAGAAGTACGCTTGTCAACAGTGGCGTACACTGACACAAAAAGTAGGGGTTTCACGTCCCTCCTAAACCGGATATGAAATTTACGCCATTCCAAATCTCATCATCCTATCGCCGATCTCTTCGTCCAGCATGTGGTCTCCTACCTTATACCAGTGCTGCTATCCACTGTAATGTTCCACATTTATGTGATTTACTATGTACGTTTGACACACATTATGACTTAAGAAAACAATTGTTATGTCTCTTGTTTGATTTTTTCTACTTTCAAATCACTTTCATTTTCTCTGAAATCATGTTAGTTTTAAAATCAAGTTTAAAGTGTTTTTTTGTTATTTTTTCTCCCCAAAATATCTCTCCGTTTCCTTCCCCTGTTCTTTATCTTTACTTGATGTCTGTCGTTACTGTATTCAGTTTTCATACATAATGAATAAATGAATGTGATTGAATTTAGCCTTGGTCTAATCAAAGGGAGATAAATGAACATAAAATTTTGTAACTTCTCGTCACAGTCAGATTACGTGCTGTTATTTTCATTGGATCATGACTTGAATTTTTGTTATGTGAATGAAGTGAGTGAACGAACGAGAATATTTTTGATCCGTTTAAATCATGAGCTAACTCAAGTCATGGATGACTATACATTGGTTTGACAATGCGGCTATAAAAGCCGCGTACCTTTCTGAGCAAGAATTAGAGTGGATCAGATTACATAAGAAAGATAAGAAACTACTTTTTTTTTTTTTTTTTTGTGTTTGGAGTGACGTCATTACTTTTTTTTTTTTTTTTTTTTTGGTGATTGGAGTGACGTCATTACTTTTTTTTTTTCTTTGCTAGTCGAAGCTCGGCAGTTAATATTTATTTTTATGATAAATGTGTCGGATTGTTTTGGACACTAGTGTTAATTCGGAACGTCAACGATTTCTTTTTCAGATGCAATTTTTTTAACGTATTGCACACTTTGCCGATAAATAATAGTTTAAAACGACACATGGCTATTTTGACTTCATACTACACATCAGTCTTATTACTTATAGTGGCGAGAAGAAAGGAACGGAGTCCCAGGCCCTGAGTGTTTTCTGTAGCCATACGGAGGGACCTGCTCCAAGACAGTGTACCTTCCGCCATAGTGGGGGCTCGTCCAAGCAGAAATGCTTTAGCTATACAAGGGACCAACTCCCAGACAGTGTACCTTCCGCCACAGTGGGGGCTCTTCCAAGCAGTTCTTTAGCTGTCCGCCAAAACACGTTCGAAATAAGGAACAAATTAAGTACGGTACCGGTACTGTGATCACACTATTGAATAAACCAAAGTAGGTCGCCAATTACGAAAAGTTTCAAATCTGATTATAAATAAATGGTCATACCGTATCTTTATAAAGTTTAATTAGAATCTTTTTAATAATGAAACATTTCCAAGCTAGAGAGTATTTTAGCTGATGCTCTCCCCTTTGTCAGGCTATTAAGAATACAAAATTGGGGTCCCCCGCTGGGGTTCGCAGATTTTTGTAAGAACATGCTGTCTTTGAATGAAATAAGAGTGGCTAAATATGTTAGACAGTAAATTCAACAATACAATTAACATAGCACACAGAAATAACATTGGCTTTCAAATTGATATTTGAATCACCACAAGCACCAGGAGGCAGTTTAATAAATGTTTATTTCAATCAGTTAGCAAACAGAACAATGATGATAGTTGTGTGGAGGTGAACAAAACACACGAGTCTCCAGATGATGATTGTAATGCTGAGCCATGACAACACATTATATATCATGAAGGCGAGCCGCTTAGCGTGGCTCATGGTTCAGACACAATCAAAACATCTATGTAGTTTCACAAAACATTTCCAGTTCACTGACGCCATCAAGCTAAAATAGTTTACAGCGACAACCCCCCCCCCCACACCCATCTCAGCAACCATCGCTTGAGCCATCTCAATCTCAGCAAACCAACCCCCTCACAGCACTCAACCCCTCACACACCTGTATCCATCTGTTTAAGTATTCAAAATGGTTACGCTGGTTTCTATACATCTCTTTCAATAACCCATGTGACTGCCTATGAAAAAGGTAAACACTGCATGATAAGATACAGGATGAAGTCTGTGGTGGCGACACCAATCCAATGACACCACTGACTAACATTATATGGAAAAGAAACACCAGTCACTTTTAACTCACATATTTAGGACCGGCATCGCTTAACCAGCATTTCTACTCTCCCTTGAATGTACATGGTTTCCATTTTCCTAGCAAAATCAAGAGTTATTTGCCAACAGAGAGAAAGAAATGAATTCACCTTTCCTCTAGAAATCAAATATATAGATATAAATATATCAGTCAAATCAATAATGTTCCAGTAATCATGTTTGTGTTGAATACAAGTTACAAGTAATCAACGAGAGATCAGTCTTGCCTTGACGTCACTCGTATGTATATAATATACACACATGTATTTACATCTGTACAGTTGTGCTCATCATGTGACTATCAAGTGGCTGTTGATTGGTTTGTGTGAAGATTGTGTCTTCTCATCCATCAATAGATTTTTGTGAAGACTGTGTTACACTTATGAATATTTGAATAATGATTTTAGTCTCTTGGAAATGTACTTGAAATAAACCTCATAAAAAATTACTATTGGTACATTTCTACCGAAACCAGTTAATTATTACATTAATGTCAATGCCAATATGTTTGTATACATTTATACAAACACCAATCAACTGCTGGTACATATATGCAAAAACCAATCAACTGCTGGTAAATTTATACAAGCACCAATCGACTAAGACGTTTATAATGTCAGAACCACTCGCAGAAATACAATCATTTCCCTTGTTCTCAGTCAGTACAATTAGTTCCGAGAATTTACTTCCCGAGTCAATCTTCTCAAGATATCAAAGAACACAATTGGTGCTAACAGTAGAAATGTCAAGGAAATGTATCAACATAGAACTTTATTCACCATCCAAATAGCCTTTTTTTCATTATTATTTTTCAAACAATTGAAATACTTCTGTGTGGTGCCGTTCTGAACATTTGCTTTTAACATCCTTATAATAATAATCCAATAGACTTTGGGGGTCGAACAACCCTTACACAATGGTCATCTAAGAGCATCGGAAAACACATATTTCTGAATTGGCAACAAAAATAATTTTATGGTTGGGGGTCATCACAACATGTGTTACTGTATTAAAGGTTCGCGGCATTATAAAGGTTGAGAACCACTGGTTAATGTACTTAAAACATAAAACATATACAAAACAGCAAGTAGATGATCTGAAATATTTCTGTTGTTTCATTGGCAAAGACTATTAAATACAGGCCACACTCAAACAGCCTGCAGCTGTTGCCATTGCTTTAATGTTTCAAACAAAATGTCATTTCTCCACAGGCTACACAAGTCATCAAAGACAGTACCGGTACTGATGGTTTTGAGCGTAAGCAAGTCAGGTGAAGGTAACAAGGTCATGTGACTTCAACTGGGAATTCCCAGAGAAAAATCAGCTGAGATCCTTAAACTAGTCTTATCATTTTCAACCATCTCATTTACTTACTGTCAATATACATAACATCTGACAGACCTTAAGACTTGTTCTGTGGCAAACATACATGAAACTTTCCCAACCTGGCCATTGGAATCATGCCTGGCCAATATAGCTGCCCTTAAAACATCAACACCTACTGCATGCACGGTACACACCACAGTAATTCATGAATAACACTTTAGGAAGTTAACCAAGGATTGAGCAAAGTTTTCACTGTAATGGCCGGGGGGGGGGGGGGGGCACAAAAAAAAAAAAGGGGGGGGGGGGGGGGGGGGGGGGGGGAACCAATAAAACAAATGGGAGTGGTGGAACCTTCAAACAGAGGAATAAACTGGTTGGTTATACTTGTCACATACACAGGCCCATTAGTTGTACTTGAAGTCACTTCTATGGGTCAGTGGAATAAGTCAGACTCCCTGATCTATGGTAGACGTTTTCACATTCCCCATGTAAATGTAATGACAAAGCGTCAAGAGATACACAAACTTTATACAACTCATCAGATATAAAATGAGAACATTTGTGAACAACTCATGAACAAAACTTGACCAACCATTAGGGTAATGTTAGGATCACAAAGTACAAGGCCAAAAGACAACTATGGTGGCACATCATGTGATCAATCTTTCTCTATTATTTCTATTACATTACAGCCATTGATTTCTTCATTCGCCCTCCCATTAATTCTAAACATAAAAAAAGGTGGGGGGCTTTTGCTGACCATCCAATAATGTTTGGTATCTATACAAGTGATCAATTCCATATTAGATAAGTATGTTAGGAAAAATTACACTGCTTTGAAAATAATTGTTTGTTCTTTTTTAAAAACTGTTGATTTATATTTGTAACCAAACAGATTTTTTTAAAAACTGTTGATTTATATTTGTAACCAAACAGATTTTTTTAAAAACTGTTGATTTATATTTGTAACCAAACAGATTTTTAAAAAAAACTTGATTATATTTGTAACCAAACAGATTTTTTTAAAAACTGTTGATTTATATTTGTAACCAAACAGATTTTTTTTAAAAACTGTTGATTATATTTGTAACCAAACAGATTTTTTTTAAAACTGTTGATTTATATTTGTAACCACACAGATTTTTTTAAAATTAATTGAATAACTAATTTCTCTAACATTTAACATTTTCAAAATCCTTTAAATTTAAAGATATAGTCAAATTAGAGAGCCTTGCATTCAGGCTGCAGGTGTGCCAGGGTAATGAAGGGAGTGTTGGGCTCAATGTTACTCTTGGATTTGGTTTTCCAATGCAATACGATTGAGGCACAATGAAGATCTGAAGTGAGACTATGAAATAAACACACAAAAAACTTTCAACAACAAATTCAAACATTTATCAAGATCCCTATAGTTTTATACAGAGGAATATTTTCTTGGCTCAGCCTGAAGGAAAACCACCACAGCAATTGCTCTGTATCTTCTCATACATCATACAATTTCATTGACAAACAGCTCATTCATTGGTGGAATTCTCATGCCATAATAATTATGTCATGGGACAACCAATCAAAATTTACAATAAACAACATCTGTGCTCAACCCTCTACCAAATTTCACCAGAAATCAGTGGTGGTCACTCATTAAATAAACTTTTCACATGCAAATATATTTTTATTTTTGCATCAGAATTAATAAGTTTTTATCATTTGTTTGAATTTGATAGACACAAAAATAAAAAGATTATGATCAATGCAACAGTGTGATGTTGCCCTTTGAAAAACGTTGATGTAACTTTGTTTCCACCACAACAAATTATTTATTCTAATCTTGAAGGTGGGCAGAGCGACATTATTTTTTCTTGCCAGCATTTGAAGATGAACGCCTAGATGACTGTTTTGACCTGGAGCTGGACAATGATTTGCTTTTTGATTCCTCTTCATCAGAGTCCTCCTTCTTTGAACTCTGAAAATTAAAAGATAAAAACAAGATTACTATGGACCAGAACTGTATACCTCAAACTAACTGAATAGTGGGACAAGATAAATTTAACCAGAACTGTATACCACAAACTAAATAAATAGTGAAACGAGATAGGTTTAAGCTAAACTGTATACCGCAATCTACATAAATAGTGGAACAAGATAGGTTTAAACTTGAAAAATTGAAAATAAAATAATAAAAGACAAGACAAAACCCATCTTGTTTCACTATTTACTTTACATGGCTTGAAGACAGTCCCTCATATATTATACCACAAACTGCTTTCTTAAACCATTGAGTACAAAGTACAATAATTATGCTTATCAAATTCACTTAGTCTTAACATAAAACACTAAGCATCTTTGACTCGATGATATTGATATGCCATCACATCATTCAGGAATTCTAATGACAAGTAATTGACATTGCGATTATCTGCTGTCGCAGAAATTTTCTTTAACGTATCTGCGTTCGGGACTCCATCTCCAGATTGGAATTCAGAGTTTGCCTTGTCTTATATGAATTGCCATCCAAGGTTAACAAGTCCCATACACCCGGGGTGCGGGTGATGTTTTTGCTTTCTGGGCTTTAGTGGGGAATGGAACGCCAGACCAACAGGTTTTGGATTGACTCAGTTTAGCCATATCGGCCACCCGGCACTCTCTGGTATTTATATATAAAGGATCCTGATAAGTTTTAAATAAGCGCACTGGGTTCCTGATAAAATATATGATGATGAAGTAAACAAAATAGATGCACACAACATCAGTGACAGTTACTAAAGCAAGAATGCTTGGCAGCATTGCTAGTTATGAAAGTACTGCATCTATTTCATTTTTAAAACAAAAAAATATGAGACGACTTAGACACCTGGCTTTTCACATGAACACAACACATTAAAAACTGTGCTAACCTTGGAAGTTTTCCTTGAGTGGTGCTCCTCCACCTCAATCTTGTCTTCCTTATCTCCGTTCCTAGGCTCCCTGGTTTTCTCATCATCGGCTTTGCTGGCAATATGTAGAGATATTTTGATTGACCCAGACTTCTCCTTACTTGCCTCTGAACTGAAAGTAAAGGAAACTTTGGTAGTATGTGTTCACTGCATACTGGGGCATACAGTAGAAGTTTGTCTGTATTCAGGCTTTGTGAGATCACATAATGCAGCAAATTGAGTAATCATGTTATAAATAAACATTTGTAGGCTCCTGCCACTTTTCTGTTTTGTGACCTCTGCATTCAAAGAAGATCATTAAAAAAAATTCTAAAGCACAACTTTCGCCCTAGGGATAGTAGGGCACTCGCGACGACCCGGGTGCCACTATAGGGTTCACTTGGCCAAAACAACGTATATAAGACTTGACATGACCTTATGCTTGCCTGCAAAGCCACCAGTTAACACAACATGGTGGTGGTGTTTCTCAAAGGCCCGATGCAGTGTTATCAGAAAAATATATTTGTATCAAGGAACGCACTTTATATTTAAATTCATTTATGCCTATTGAGCCCTCATTACCCGCACGCTTATGACTTGAATCCCATGTGGGGTCGTTTAAACTGGTTCACCGAGGCAAGAGCTTTTCAAAATGTCATTACATGTTGGTGTGACTATTTCAGGGTGCTGATGTGTCATGTGAAAATAAACGGTGCAAACTTGAAAATTTTGTGGCCATCAAAGGAGCCAAAAAGGATGTCACACCAGAGCATTCCCCTTCAGTCATGTGGATTCAGTCGACTTGTCCCACTGTTAAATGTATTACCGTATCTGGCATCCCGCTTTTTTTAAAAATAGCAACATCGGTTGGGGTTGGCAGTTCAGGCATAATTCAGGGTGCAGGTGTGTCAAACTTGCACAATTTTTTTGGACATCAAAGGGACCCCATGTGAATTCAATCCCCTTGTCGAACAGATTTGTATGTAATGTAATGTAATATGCCCCTTTTTCCAGAAACCATAATTTTTTATACAAGTTTTATATAAAAAACCTATAGACAAAGAATTTGTAAAATATCCATACAATGAAAGATGCCATACAACTCTTATAAACATATGCATTTGTCCTGACCAATAACTAGCCTAACAAGAAAATCTAAATTGAGCACACATAAATATAGCCGATCAACTGCAATACTAACCTTTGGGGAGAATTCTCGACAGTTTTCACTGGTGTGAGAGTGGAAATTTTTTGTATGGAGTTTTCAGAAGTGGATTCAATTTTGTGGAATTCTCCATCTTTTTCAGAATCATTTCCAGAATGTATCTATTAAATAAGATTTTTAAAATGTATTAATACTTGTCAAGTTATGTGTGTGTCAGTGGACAGACCAGTGCTTGCAGGTCCATCCAAATGTGCAGGAACATTTTGTGCTTTGTGGGGAAATGTTTGATGAGTGGTTGAGATTAAGCCCAACAAATTATGCACAAACATAAGTTTTCTAAGCATAAAGTTCAATAGCTAACACTAACACATGAAATATAGTACAGCATTTTTTAATAATTCAGTAGTTGTAATTTCCCTCTTAATATTTGCACAAAACTTCATATATATCAATAGTTATTTATAAATAATATTTATTGAGAGTATTTTTTTTATTTCATATTAATATTACACATATATATTTATTTTGTAATGAATATTCATTTCTGGAACAATGATTAAATTTTTCTTAAGATATTGAATCCAAAAAATCTCTGACCATTTCAGTTTTGTCAGCCTCTTTACTCTCAGCATTGGTCTCCATGCCTTCTTCAAGCAAAGCCATAACAGATTTATTTATATGAGTTTTCTGTAAAAAAAAAAATGAAATTTAAAAATTGGTATTTCATAAATAGAAAGCTTAGTTTATAGGAAAACATTTTTTTTAATGTCAATAGTTTATTTAACTCTTATCAAATTAAATTAATGAAATTATGATTTTTAAAAATAATTTTACAAAGGATATTGTATAAATAACTATAATAATAATTATAGACAAATTACAAGCAATACTAAACATTTTGAAACATTAAAAATCTTATAATGCCCTTACAATGAGGAAATTTTCCTTTTTGTTAGTTTTTGAACTGAAAAAGAATGGAATTCTGTCCAATATGTGAGAACAGTAATATTAACCTTTTAATTCTGTAAAACTCACCTGATTATCTGTAAATGTTTGAACATGTGCAAGCAAAGGTTCCCTCAAATCAGGACAGACTTCAAAAACATCTTTCAACTGAGAAGCAGGCAGCTGTAATAAAACTTGAAACGACTGAGGCTTGGCCCGTTGACAACACCGAATGAAACCTTCCCAAACTTTCTTTTGCTTCCAAACCTGATCAGATATTCATGGAATTAATTTTCTTTAATTATACAATTCTTTAAAAAATATATAAAATTATTGAAAAACATGAATACCTTATCAGTTTTTGTAGGTAGTCAAAATGTAAGGTCTTCACAGTAAGTTTTAGTATGTATTCAAAATGTAAGTTCTTTACAGTAAGTTTTAGTATGTGCTCAAAATGTAATGTCTTTACAATAAGTTTTAGTATGTGCTCAAAATGTAATATCTTTAGAGTAAATTTTAGTAAGTATTCAAAATGTAAGGTCTTGACAGTAAGTTTTAGTATGTGCTCAAAATGTAACATCTTTAGAGTAAATTTTAGTAAGTATTCAAAATGTAAGGTCTTTACAGTCATTTTAGTATGCATTGAAGATTTAGGGTCTTTACAGTAAGTTTTAGTATGTGCTCAAAATGTGTTGCCTTTACGATAAGTTTTAGTAGGTATTCAAAATGTAAGGATAAAGATATTGGTCTACAAGGATGTTATTTTAAATGACTGAGGATTTAGTCACGTCACTCATCCCAACGAATATACTACTTAAACTATTATGTGGATGTTTGTTAGTAGAAGCTCTTTTTGAAAAGAACTTTTGAGCTACTGGCAATAGCTTTTTTTCCCCTCAATTTTTAAAATAATAATAGATAATTATCTAAAGTGACCACCTTCTTGACTATGAGTCTTTGAAGGATGTTGAGGACAAATCCAATGAGCCTTGGGTACATGGAAAGAGACTGAATGACTGTCCTCATGAGAAGAGTTGGTAGGGGATCTTGTTCCATGAGCTGTTGCATGACTATGGCCAGGACTTCCTGCGTGTAGATGGCACGTTCACTAAAACAGAGGTTGGCAGCTGAAAGAGATATATTTTACTTAGTTAGCCAAGTATTGTTAACCATTTTTTATGCAGTTCCAATAAGTGGAACCACGTAATACTGTACTGCTGCAATAAAAAACAGTATAATCGGCTTGAGATTAAAACTACTAAGCGGTATACACAAAACTAACTAGATAACACTGTGGAAACTGCCTATAAGCCGTGTGAAGGGAATATTGGGAACAAGACATATTGAAGCTAAAATGTACAATACAAAACAATAGCACCGACTTTTTGGGCTGAATGCCCTCTTGCTCTAACAAAATAATACAAATTGTAAGAATTAGAATGAAAATAAAACCATTGGTAAATATGGAACATACACATAAAAGTAAGTGCAGAGTCACCAGTGAAGCTAAACAAATCTATTTTCAGACGTACCTTTGATGGTTGTTTTTATATCACATTTGACCGGATCAATGTTGTGCAGGGCTACAAGCAATTCAACTGGTGTTAAAGGAGAATGGTACACTGAGTCATTGCTCACTGGAAAACAAAAACAGGACAACAGCATTATGGAGTACTCAATTAATGGCTAACACTATAAGAAACATAATTATGCATTCCAAGTATATGCTTTTAACCCACGAACTGTGTATGTTATGTTTCTGTAATGTGCGGGGAATTTAAAGATTTTTGGGTGCCTTTGAAAAAGGTGATTTTTCACATGCAAATACTATAACTAGCCCTCATTAAGTATATATTTATTGAAAGTAGACTGAGTGGGGAATCAAACTGGCTATTTTTTTAATGATATTTTAAACTCGCTGACCGTGACCTTGGAGTGACCAAGAAAAAAGAATATAATGAAAATGTTTATTTTCAAGTACCTCAAACTACAATTTTTTAAAGGCATATTATTATGTTTATATAATGATACAATTTTTATATATCTTTCAAAAAATGTATTATTTGTATATGTTTTAGTTATTAATAGATCTTCCGAATCACTATTGTCATCATCTAATAAGAATTATCAATCAAAAAGATTCCTAACTGATTTATTTTGTAAGCCAGATGGTCCAGCTATAGCCTCATCCATTTTGCGAAAATCTACTTAACTTACACAAATTTGCTTGTTAAAGATCCTTGTAAAAAATAACTCCAGAGTTTAAAAAAGGACACAGAAGAGCGAAAAATGGAAGTTTATTTATTATTAAAAGGAATTAGTTTTATTTGGTGTAAAATATTGGACTAAAACTTATTTTTTCAACGCAATTTTTATCGGCCGTTTTTATTGGCCGTCACAGTTTAGAAAGAGGAAATCAGCTGACCACAGTTCGTGGGTTTAATAATGTTTACCAATACTTGGTGATCAATACCTTTCAAGCTCTATTTCCTTTATGTATAATTTCCCCCCTAGAATATCTAAAAACTGTTGTCTTGGCAAAACTGAGTTAACACTGAAACAACTGCTGCTGATCACAAACTACTGAAACTCTAACCATCTTTAATTTGAAATAAATTTAAAAAGTCATAAAAACCCATCTGTTACCATGGCTCCCCATGAGTCGGTTAAACACCTCCTTCACAACCATTGGATTCAGTTTGATCAACTTTGGTAGTGCTTCCATCACTTCATTCTATGAGGTTACAATAAAGATCACAGGTGAAAACCAAAAAAAAATTATTAGAAACAAGTGGACTAACAAGTGTCAAAGTATTAAAATGTTGCTCTGAAAAGTGATAAGAATTGACAGATATAATAACAACATTAATAATTCAGAAAAAAGGACCTTAAGTAAATTTAGTTTCTCAATGTGGGCACTTTCATGCAAAAATCTTTATCAGCAGTGAAATAGAGCAGCCCTTACAACAATTTATAGCTAAAAATTTATTTAAAATTAAAATTTAATCAAAACACCATTTATATAGAGTTGGTTTTTTTTAAATTATCATTATTTGAATGGCATTATAGTTTTTATCGTACTTTGCAGATTATATGCCAAAAATAATTTGTTAAATATTTTCATTTTCTTTTACATTTACATCCATCTTGCTGTGCATCTATGAAACTTGCAACACACTGTTTTTAAATCTCTGATCATCTTGTAATCAAGTAGAATTTTAATTCTTTATATTTTAGGTAAAATAATATATATTATCAATCAGATCAAGTAGCCATTTTGGCATGTGCCTTTCAGACTGCGGTCATGGTGAAGAATTAAAAATATAAACATATATACCTTTGAGAGTCCATTCAAAACAGGAATAAGAAATCTGACATCAGGAACTCTTTTGTGGTAGAGATCACGAATCCTGTCCACAAGTTCAGGTGATGGGACAGCTATAGAAACATTAATCATATTATATATGTGTTAAGCTCTATGAAAGATGTGAAAGATAATGCACTGTCAAGTTCAATGGAGAATCTCAATGAACAATTAAGAAATACCCACATTGAAATGGACATTCCAACATTAAAGGTAATAATTTTAAGTAAGAAAAGATATTGACTTGATTTTAACACAATGCCAAATAATTCAGATTTTAAAAAACCTTGCCGATAATTATGTCCATTTCATTATTTTTCTTAATTTTGCTAAGAGGAGATAATTGCAGGGCAAGCAAATATACATTATTAAGAGCATATTTATCCTATACTGCTTAATCACTGTTGAATACTATTTTCTTTTTTCATGACAAGAAGCTAACCTTTGTCTGTGAGGATGTGAATAACTCGCATGACTAAAGTCTCGGAACCTTTAGGACAGTTCTCTACCAAGGTGAGGAGTTCTGGAGATTCCATACCCATTCCTTTAACCTGAGGCAATAAAAACAGGATGTTTCAAATAGTTCAGTTCTAAATAACATATTGATGCAAAGATTTCTTGGTTAATCTTGTTTTTGTTGATCACAAGGTTACAAAAGTATTGAATAAAAAAACTAAAAAATCTACTGTTTTCTTGTTACATTTGGATCAAATTAATAAGAAACTATAGTGGAGGACTAAGGTTTTAATAGCCCCAAGTTTTTACTGTGGGAAAAAAGCCATTTTTTCAGGGGCCTTTTAAAAAATTCCACAAATACCACATGTTTTAGCGCTGTCTGCATTTTATTTAATTTTAAAAATCATCCTCATTCAGATCCAATGGCCATCTGAGCATGTGCCCTTCAGTCTGCGGCCATGATAAAGAATTTAAATACTTGTCAGCTGCGTCTGGTATTTTAGGTAGATAGTTTGGGTGCAAGTCTCTAAGTGCTGGGCAGTGGAAGAGGTGATGTGCTACGATCTCAGTTGGATGTTTGCTGAGGGGACACCTTGGTGTTTTATCCGGTTTTATGCGGTAATTTTAAAAACACCTAATAAACTGTTGAATAATGAAGACGAGCTTTGAATAAATGTTTAAAATAGGTCATGTCAGCAAAGGTAAAGATCAGGGTCAGGTTCATTTGATGAAGGGAAATTTTTTTAACAAAAAGAGCAGACCGTTGTCTGAATATAAAACACTTACGGGAACTTCCAGAACTCTAAGGATAGTGCGTTTTATGTCAGCACTTGTGGCTGTGTAGATGTTAGCTAACCTGCAAAAGACAAAGGATAGTAAGAATAACAACATTTTTTTAAACCAATTTTCTGTTTCCATTAATGTATAAAATGAATAGAAGTATGGCAGCCCAATTATTAATATCCTTGATTATATATAAAATAGTTAGGACTGACAAAGATAGATACTAACTCATGAATGAGCTTGTGGTTAGAAGGCAAAAGGCCCAGGTGAAGACACAGGTGTGCTTTTATCAGCTCCTCTGTCCACGTTTCTGTAACTTCTGATAAAGGAAGGAAAAATGACAACCTTTTATATGCAAACATTATGATTAAAACTGTTCTATTCATTGTTAAAACAAATAATCAATTGTAACTCTAAAGAAATTGCTACTATTAATTACAGTTGATTAAAAATCAACATTACAGCCAAATAAAAAAAAACACAGAGCAAAAGAATGACACATTTATGGCAAGGAGATTAGGGCTCAAAAAAAAAATAAAAAAATCACATCAGCACTAGTTAAATATTCAATATTATGAAGGAATTTTACCTCGTAATGAAATAGTGGAAAATTGTTTTTTACTTTAGTAGAATAATAATGCTGAATTTTTAAAAAATCATAATTTCTATAAATCCAAACTATATAGATTGTAGCCTTATTTCAAAACAAAATTCACTAATTTAATTAGTTATATTATAACTAGAAGTTTATAGGTTGTCTTGAAACCATACGGCAGGGTCAAGTCACAGTAGTTCCTCAAAGAATATGACACCAAGGGCATCTGGAATTGCTATCTGGGTCTGTGGTCAGGGGAAATGAATACAAGCTTACAAATGTTGATCAAATGTGAGATCAACAAAACTATTCAAAAACAAACCTTCTTGTTTCAAGGCATTGCTGGGTGGTTTAGGCTGTAAAAGTTTCTTAAGTTGGAAGTTTGCATATCTTTCAATCTCTGCTTGCATTTTGCCACTTTCATGGAGTTTCTGGGCTGATTTGATGGCAATATTTCTTACCTAATAGTAGATGAGAGAATTCATTATCCTAATCATCAAAAAAAATTAATTACTAACCATTCTTCACTCTTACCTTCTGTAATTAACAAATGTATAATTTCTAACAAAGACTATAATATCAAGAATATCCGTACCACTGCCCATAGAATTGGCACCTAGTGACAGGGACCACTATATCACTGAATTTTTTTTTAAAAACTTGCTCCATTTAAATATACGAGCAAGTTTTGTGTTGTGCAACTAATAAGGATTATCTGCATTGTAAGTCCAAAGTGCAACAACATACAAGCCCCATTGTCAGTAAAAATGGCCCCTTGATACCCTGCTTTGATTACACAACAATATTATGTAAAAATCTCCACTAGTTTCTGATTTTAATAAACATAATAAATTCTTAAGATATTTGCTAAACTGTTCTGTTGCTATGTGTACCTACATATATATCCACTGCCTGACTTTCTAAATCATTCAGGCAGTGGATGTAAATACATATATTTGGCAAGCCAATGAATCTGTAGATCTAACACATCCATAATGCTTTAAAAAACCATTTCAAAACAATATCAACATGCCTTGCTTTTTATCCAACAGCTACAATTGCAAAAATATCATCCTTTTTAAATACATTAATATTTGTTAATAAAGTATTGTAAATTATTTTTGCTTACTTCCAACTTTTCATTTGCTGTGAAATCTAACAGAAGATCAAGAAATTTTATCCTGTGTGCAGGGCGATTGATAATTAACTGAGACAGGGTCTTCATCCCGGCTTCTGTATGTTCCTTTGAAGTTAAAATGAAAGAGAAATATTTCAATGACCATTGAAAATTGAACATATACTTCTGATGTACAAGGTTTTTGTTATATTTATAATTATTGGAAAATGCTTGCAAAGATAAATGGTAAGAAGCTGTTTACAAATTTCTTTAAAAGGCAAGTATATTTTATGAACATCGTTATAAAAGAAATGCATGATAGTGGGAAACAACTCAAAACCTTTGCAGATTACTATAAAATAGACAATAGAAAGACAGTGGAACACAGGCACAAAAGTTTAATTTCATGTAGCTGTAGGGGTTAGTAAACCAGGTGATTTAATCAAAGTCAGCCTTCGAGTCAACCCTCAGAAAATCAAATAAATTTGTATCACTTACAGGTATAACACAATACATCTTGACCACAACCATGGCATTATCAGTTATGACTGGCGCCTCAATCAGAAGCCGATGAAAAAGACTGAAACAGAAATGTTCATCAAGTTATAAATACTTAAAACAATTTTTTGAATTACACTGCATTAGTAATTTAACAGGGGCTTTAACCCCCCCAAAATATACCAAACTTTAGCTCACCTATCACCATGGTGGTCATCTATCTCTAAAAGGCCCACCAAAAGTTTGGTCAAGCAGGCATCATAACCATCCAGGGTCACTGGTTTGTTGCTTCTCAGATTAGCACTGTAACCTTGACAGTGGGCATACTCCTGGTACAACCAGGCAAACGCCAGGTCCTGACGTGTTCTTAGGTCATTAAAAATATAGTTCTGCAGATCTAAAAACACAAAGGAGTGTCAATTATAATAAGTAATTTATTTTCTCTTATTACTGCATTTACTAATGGTAATAATGATGCAGAGATTTTTCTCAATCTTTCAACAATTTAGTTTTGAAAAAAGAAATGTTCACTTTTAGATAACATGGTCAGAATTGGTAAAATTTTTCATAGCCATCAACATGAACTTGATAAAAAAAAAAAAAGCATCTCCAAAGAAATAAATAATGAAACTAAGCTGAATGAAATACAAACAAAAAATACCCTTTTTTGTGGACTCTCCAAATAATGTGGCCAGTGAGGCAAGCAGCTTAGTTCTGTGATGGTCCACATGACTGACTGATGCTGCCTCTGTGGATTTGGGAATAAAAGGCTGATTTAGTTTCAAACCTTCAGGCCAGAGGGAAAATAGAAAAGATATCCAAAATATTCTTCGATCAGCAAAAATAACTTCAAAATTTGTATCGTTACAAATATGTTACTAAAAACCTACTTTCTGCCTGCAGAATGCGTTTCATTGCTTCATTGCTCAAGAGTGTTATGCTGGACTCATTCAGTTTTTTAGTCACACTTGACAACTGAAACTGCTTCACTTTTCTAACTGTTGGAGGAAGCTGTTGGCAGAAGAAAGGCAACGATAATGTTAGACATGGTTTTTTAAATTCCACTTCCACCCACTTTGTTTTTTCTTTCTTTTCTATCCTATTTTTAAAAGTAATGGGTAACATATAATTATGTTATGTAAAATTTAATTTATATTGATGCTATTTGTTATGCTGATAATCACATTAGCCGAAACTTTTAAAATGTAATTTTTCTTAAAATTAAAGGTTAACATAACATGTTTTATTTACACAAATTATTTGCCTCTTATCAATAGACATGATGTGACAAGATGCCTAGCAGGTTTACATATTTGAATGGTCTGTATTTGAATTAAGAAAACAGTGGCAAGCTAAACCACAGCAGAAAAACGCAAAGAAACTGAGGAAATTATTTGTATTGTACTTAGCGATACAAGCAAATACATCAGTTGTTTAAAACAATAAGATTGAGAAAGCTTACTGAAAACTGATTTTTGGGGGGCTTTTTTATCAGTTGATCATCCTCTGTCTTAAGACCTGGGGAAAAAAACAAAAACAAATGTCTTCATGCCATCTTGGACATGTGTTCCACTTTCAAGTAATTTCACCTTAAAGATTCACAAAAAATACATCTTTGTTTTAGTTAATTTAATGTGGCTTATTGTTCTTACCTACAACAGTTTGGATCAGTTGCTTTGGTGAAGATGGCTGATCATCACTACTTCTTATAGTTTCAGATTCTTTCAAAGCCTAAATAAATATGAGAAATATTAGCATGAAATTATTTTATTTTGGGTTTCAAGAAACAAAGTTTCGAGCTTTTACTAATTTAACCCAAGAACTGTGGTCGGCCGACTTTCTCGTTCTGTACTGTGGCGGCCAATAAAAAACACGGTCCGATAGCAACTTCCAATCCAGTATTTAACCTGAATTATAGCCACTTCCTTTTATTAATAATTAAATCATCTACCGGTTCAAGCTGTTTCTCGATAACTTAAAAATAAATACTTTTTAATCGTAGTTTTATATCGCAGTTTTTTTTTCAGAGCTAAAATGGTGGAAGCCATGGCTGGGCCTTCAGTGCAAGAACTAATAGAATTATGTTTGAAAGCCATGGCTGGGCCTTCAGTGCAAGAACTAATAGAAATATGTTTGAAAGCCATGGCTGGGCCTTCAGTGCAAGAACTAATAGAAATATGTTTGAAAGCTTTTTAGCAGAGGTTTTAAGTGATACTGATGATGATTTTAACATTCCCCATGACGTTGAGATTATTCTTCTCGTGAATTTTATACTAGTCTTAGTGATACTGAAGTAGGCCTACTGAGGTTACTGTTTGACTTCGAGCCAGGCCCCGAGGTTGGGCAAGGACTGACTGAATTTAAGTCACAGAAGCTACAGATGATAGATCAGAACTAATAAATTTTATAGTCAAACAGCCCAAATCAGTTCCACAGTTCGTTTTTAAATGTTTATTAGTCACTAATAACTATTTTGCCTGAGATGGTGTACTTGGTTTTAGCAGTGGTCCCAGTTTCTTAAATAAATTACCTAAAATTACTAAAATTGCTTTCAGATGTTTAATTGTAGTCAATACCTTAGCAAACTACACATTTTCTGAAAGATAAATGAATTGGCTACAACATTTAGATTTGTGTTTTAAGTGTATCTATAAAAATTAATGATGTTATGAGCCCTTGAAAGCAAGACATTTTGTAGCTTTTTTTTTCTTGATAACTCCAAGGTCAAGGACACCGAGCAACATTTTTTTACGGGGTGGGCAACATGGCCAACGTTATACCATCCATTTACCTTTTGAAAAATATATATACTTATTGGGGTCTTGTATCAATATTTCTGTCATTTAATGCAATTTTAAATGGCACTCAAAACACTCTGAAAAGCTCCAAACCACAGAATAATGCATGACACAGTTTGTGGGTTAAAAAAGTTTTAAAATGTGATCGTAAAAATTAACTGAATTTTGAAATAATTTCATAAGTCATTTGATCCTTGTCTGATAAAGTTAATCAGAACTTAGTGTTAAAATTACTCCTCAAATAGATGAAATGGCAAAAAAAACCCACATAAAAAGTATTTTCGAATAAATATTTTTTAAGCATTATGCAAAGGGTCACCAAGTTTTCAGCAATCATTAAAATTACAATACAACTGAATCAAAGTTTAATAAAAATATCAAGTAAAAACAATTATCTTGGTGTGCAATTTTTAATTTAAAATTACTTTGAGTTTAAATATTTTACTAAAAATACCCTTGAAAAAAAAGACTTTATTATATATGTATACAAAGTCAAGTTTTACCTGCATTTGTAATTCCCCTAAGCCTTTACCCATACCAGCCATTGTAAGCTGGGTGGCCAAGAGTCTGGCTATGTGGCTGATCTGAGCCTGTGTGCCAGCCGCAGCTATTGGGGTATATGTGGACTGGAACTGCGCTGGCATAGAATCTGGCAACATCACCTAATTAGAGAAAACATATCATAGACAATTATTCTTCAGTCATGTCTGTTAAAGATTGAAAAATCATTTTTAATATGGTTGTAGGTTTATAAGAACAATTAAGTTGGGCTCATGTGAGTTTCATTTTTGTTTAAATTTTATTTGTGTAGTTGGTTGGGGGGTTGGCACTTGTCTCCAAAAGATGATGGTGTAATTTCCATGGAAGATTAGCTAAACTTGGAAGAGGTGTTAATTTGGAGAGACAACTGTTTCCAAGTCAGCTGATCTTCATGCAGTTGGTGACCTCAAAGGAAAATCAAAAAGGTTGATGCACCATGATTGCCAAATGTGTCAACACTTGTAATAGACTTACTTGCTGGCTAAAGTTCATACGTCAGCAATATCAAGGAACATAATACTACACTAAAATTTTCTTTCATCTAAGAGGAGGAAAACTCGAATTACAAACCTATGCTGCCTAGTGGCTACAATTCCCACAGTTCAAGTCCGTGGGAGTAAACTCTAACAGAAAAATCCAGAGATGGAGTCTGGTAGATATTGTTCTCAATTAAAAATTGATTTTTAAATAAATAAGGCTTCAAATATGGAGTACAAACAGATGACAGTAGGCAGTCACACTAATAAAAGTATTATTTTTGTAAAAAGTAAGCTCACCATGCTTAGTAAAACCAAATCTGCCACATTTTGAGGTGATAATCGTGGGAGGATGTCTTCAGCTGTAACATCGATGGCTGTCTGTTTCTGGGCAGGCTCTGGTTTAGCTTTTTTACTTGTCCTGTCAACCCACGGGGTCATTCCATCGTCGTCATCATCCATCTGACAAAGAATGGTTAACAATCTTTAAAATATGACCTGCTGAGCCAATCTTGAATATTTTAATATTTAAATATCTTTTAAACTAAATGTTTTTTGGTTGTTTTTTTTAAACTTAAAAAATGGTTGTGTTACATAAAGAATATGTGAATTATAGCAAATTATACCTCTACGACAATTTTTGATTTTTTGCTGGCAGAGCTGAGGCTAATTTCTTGTTGGGCTTTTCTCTTGCGACTGTCAATATCTTTGGGTGTGTTCTTGGCAATCTGAAATTGAAACATTTTCAATTAAAAGTCAGCATGCAGCTAATAGGATGGTCATTCAACAGGAAAAAAGCCACTTTTAAATACATTTCTACAACATTTTGTCAAATAATCTCATGCATAAGAAAACATTACTTTTTAATTTTGTTCAAGGTTCATACAGAAAAATAAGGTCATTCATCTATGTATAAATGTTATGTATTTTAAGAGGTTGGATATTCTCTATATCTGACTTATGGTTTAGAAGTGTACTACCATACCTCAGACTGTGTGGCTCCCAAATCAGTAAGTAGTGTTGAAATTTGTGGAATGAAGTCACATGATGCTGGATGCCTTAATAAACTCATCATTTGGATCTTCAGATTCTTCCTTACACTACTGACTTGAGATTTAGCAAGAGTGGGAGGCAGGTTGACTGAAAAGCAGATAAAATAATGTGATAAATTAACAGTTGCATTGTTAATTAGGTTCACAATCTGTACAATAGTTACAGATAATAATTAGAGAGTAATTATTTGTGTTTCAAATTTCAATAAATAACTAATATGTTTCTTTTAGAGGCTCAGTGCAGTTCCTAGATATTTTTTATATACCTCAAATGAGCCGAAAGATGTGAGTCCTGTAGATTTTTTAAAGAAATGCTTTATAATGCTTTATAAATATAGTTGAGTTTGTTATCCAACACCAAGTCTTACTCCAGAAAAATAGTTTGAACATTCATACAAACTTCAAGGTCACCAAAGCTTTGAGTCAATACCTACACTGCCTTATGTGCACTTTGGGAAAGGTATAATGCTACAAAAAGGAACATTTCAAGAGAAACAAATGGAATGGATTTGTCAACATGGTAAGCCACCTTGACAAGGGAGGAAGAAACCCTGAATAAAATTCTTAACCTTTGAACACAGACATAGCAGCCAACTTGGTATAAGATGAAAATCGGCAGTCCTGAAAAAATGGTCATACTGTTAACCAAAGATCTTTGTTGGAAGCTACCCTTTTATATTTCTGGCCAGGACTCACAGCGCAGGGGTGGGGGATAGACAGCAGACTTACAGGTGGCTGTGGTCTAAAAACAGAAATATGGCCAGAAGACTTTGAAATGGCAACCCCAAACCCCACGAGAAATTTCAAGTCAATGCTATTCTAGTAATTTTAAATTTATAAGCTAAAATTAAATTTAATCAGCTTGGTACTATATTCACCATGTAAAGCCTCAAAGCTCTGAACAACTTGATCAAAAAAATATGGCCTCTGCTTTGCAATATTGGAAAGAGCATTCATCACAGTCATAAGGTTGATACTGAAAGGTATACACAAGTTTAATCACATAAAAAAATAATTTGGAAAGTGTCATGATACATATAATCCACCAATAAAGCAACAGACGCACAACAATTCATCAAATAAGTTTATCCATGAACAATAAGAATAATTCTTGACATGTATATATTTCAAAATCACAATACCAGAAATAATTTAATACTTTTTATATACACACAGAAACGTAAGATTACTTTTATTAACACAGAAATTAAACTGAAATAATAAACTAGAGCCAATAACCTATACAAGAGCAAACAAAAGATCTGTGTGTAACGTACTTCCTTAAACAGTCTTATAACAATTATGTGAAGAAGTATGAGCTATAAACAAATGATGGTTACCTGGAGATATGGGGTGAGCTTTGAAATTGTAAAAGATTATTAAATGCCTTTTTTCCTTCCTCCTCAAGATGGGCAACATTTACAATGTCATTGTTCTCTGGCACTTGTTCAAGGGACATGTCATCTTCACTTTTCTTGGGTACCTCCGAGTCCTGCAAAAAAAACATCAAGCTTTTAGTGGACAGAAACACAGAGTTATAGCTATAAAAAATTACAATAAAACAAAATCACGTACTTTTAGTATACAGATGTCAAATAAAATAACCACTAGGTTTATTGTCAATAATGTCACAGAAATATCTGCAATGTGTAAATTATAATAAATTATTTACGTACCCAAGATTTCCTTGAAAGTGCAAGGGTGAGACCCTCTAAGAATTTCACAACATGCGTTCGGATTCTGCAGCAATGGAAAAAGTTAACATGTAATTGTTTTCATTTTTAATTTCTTTCAAAACTATCATTTAAATTTAAAGTACATTTTAAAAATTATTATTCTTCAAATAAATCATACCCATCATTGGCAGATTCTAGTGAGTCAAAAAGCAATGTCTTTAACTCTGTCAGGTGCTGCCAAACAGATTTCATCTCTGGTCTTGTTTTCTTGGCTCTGCTTATCCACTGAAAAGAAATTTTTTAAATCAATTAATATTTAATAACAATAAAGGACATGTATCGGTTACATAGAAAAAGAATCTTAAATAATTTTAATGACATTGCTATAACTTTGAAATATAGTTAAGTTATCATACATGTTTTAAGATAAATATTTTAAAATGTAGAATCAGTTGCACAAAAACTATACATAATTTGTTACTTACAGCCAAAGCCAATTTAAACATACTACTGACGGTCAGTATGACCTTTTTCTGCACATTCACATCATCATCTCCAAGTAACATTAACAAACTAGCCATGACTTTAGGCAAACATTCAAAGTCCTTTTTGCTGAAAATAAATTGTATTTTAAGAAATGGCTTTTCTTTTGAAGTGTGGGGAGGGATATATTCAAAGTTATACTGTTAAAAATGAATAACCTCGTATTATGTTACAATATAATTTTATCACACAAACATTTCTTTAACAAATTAACTACCGGGTATCGAATATTAAAAATTGAATCTTCACCAGGGCTTCATGCCAAAGGGAACATGCCCAAAGGGCTACTGGATCTGGATGATGAGGATTAAAAATCTCGGTACAACTTCTTTTGTCCTTTTTCAGTTACGTAGTAAAGTGACCAAGTGTTCCATATGAGTTATATGTAACTAATTTGGCACAAAATAAGACCCGTTAGGGTTTAAAATAATATAATAACTTTTGAGCATAAAATCTCACTGGCAACACCTACCAAGCTTCCTCCATGAACCCAACAACAAATTTCTTAACATCTTTTGATGAATCAGATTGGTAGGCCAACATTTCCTACAGGAATAGGATATTATTGTTAAATGTAAGTGAAAGACATCAAAGAGTTTAAAATGTAATTAAAATATAATTATGCAAAGTCAGATATTATGCAGTTGTGATGGGAGGAATCTATGTCATTTTCATCTGCCTTAATAAGTACTCATGCAAAAGAATGTTAACACAAGTCTTATTGAAAGTTAAAGAATAGTCCATTTTTAATGACAATTACTAAAACCAGCAAGTAATCCTGTTAGTTAATTTGATTTTATTCTTTTTTTAAGAAACAGTAGCCTAGTTGGCAATGTTTTTTTAAGAAACAGTAGCCTAGTTGGCAATGTTTTTTTAAGAAACAGTAGCCTAGTTGGTAATGTTTTTTTAAGAAACTAATTTTCATTTTAAATTAAATGCTTACATCAAGGAAGTTGTCAAGCAGATCTGGAGACTTATACACTATTAATTCTTTAACCTGCAAGAGAAAAATGCACATTCTTTTTAGTATAGAGTAATAAAAACAAGGTAGGTCATAAGTTTAAAAGGATTAAATGTGAAAGAACAGGTGCAAAAAAAAAATAAAAAATCTTTTTGTGAAATTTACTTTAACTGTATTTAAAAAATTATGAATTATAAGTTACTGTATATTTTTTAAAATATGGTATAATCATAAAAATACCTTTTTAAGATTAGCTATTTTATCTGCACTCTTTGGCATAACAGCTGCATTGTTCAGAAGCTCAACAACCTATAAATAAATAGAAAAATTAACAATACTGTCAATAATTCCTGGAATCAGGCTTCATCCCACTGATCTCATTCTGGGCTTTTTTTAAAAACATTAAGGATAATCACTTAGACATAATTATATTAAATGAAAATGTTTTAGAAGACAGTTTTAAAATATATCATTATTTTATTGAAATCATCAATAATAGAGATAATAAATTCATGTTCTTTACATTCTTATATATTCTTGAGTATTTAGACAATGCTTATGGGGAGAGTTGTTAAATATGAAAATAAGTTTTATTTCAACATTTTTCTATGGCACTACAAATGACAAATAACATACAAATTGAAATTTATGAAAAAGATGTCCAGTACCGGTATAAAAAAAAACTATCAATTTTGTAAAAAAATATAATGGAAATTACTAGTAATTCTAGTCCAAATAAGAAATTACAAATTCTTTTACTTTTACTCTTTCTTCTTTACTAGATTTAGTTCTTTTAAAATTGAGTGCGAGCATGTGCAGTTTAAATCCTGCGAGAAAGATATCTTTTGCAGAATGATTAACTACTTTGACTTTAAACCCATTGTAAAAAAAACGCTTACAAGTATGGGGGGATATATTTATAACTTGAAATTAAAAACATTGCTAGATCTAATGCAGGGGAAAAGGCAGCCTTTGTTGATTCAGTTTGATTTATTCAGTTTATCCTCTCGATAAAGGGTGTCCCGGGCAATGTTCCCTTTAAGCTGCGCGGCTGCGCAGCAATCTCACAGACCCTGCGCAGCAGTTTTGAGTATGCGCAGCTAATTTCCACTTAAGTGTCTGTAGGCTGAAAATTTTGCGCACAAAAAATTGATGCTGTAAAAATTTGCACACAACTTTATGATTTTGCACACAAACCAACAAACCTTAGAGGGAACATTGGTCCCGGGCCATTTTTTATAATTTTTCTAAAGTAAGAGTAAGAGATCTTAAACTTAGTAAAATAGTGAAATTTACAGTAGGCATAGCCATAGTAGTTGGTTTGTTTAAATTAATTTGATAGCTAGGGACATTTAGAATTAGGAGTGACAGCAGGTCTTATTTATTTATTAATTATAATTAATTAAGTTAATTAAGATATTAATAAATACTAATTTATTAATCATCTTTTATTTCTAGGCCCTAAGCCTAAAGGGGCCTGACGTGCATTTTTTAAAATTACTCTATATTAAATAATGTTTTACTTTAAAAAATACGAGATAGTGCTAAATAGGCTTATTATTAAAATTAATATATTTCGTTAGGGTTCGAAAATTAAAAATACCCTCAACTCGTCAGCAGATAGATTGCTAACAATGCCAAAATTCGGTTTAAAATAAACTCACTAAATCATGAGTTGATGATGTTGGTTCTATCTGTTTATCCGTCTCTTCATCTTTATGGAAGAACTGAGCTGCTGTTGATCTTTTTACCAAATCTCTTTTCATCGTGGATGTTGAAGAACCTGTATCGGTCGCTTGCTGCCCCGTACCACCGATATTGGTAGTGCTTGTAGAGGCCATTTAAAGTTAATTATTTAGTTTCCAGTACTTTAAATAATGTTTTTAAACAGTTAACTGTTTACAAATTAAAGTTAAGGGATTAGGGTACTGCTCATTGGGACATGAAAATAGAAATTAAGAGAACATTGAAAGGCCATGCTTAGAATAGTTCCCAATCTAATCGGCCATCTTGAAAATTGACCGAATTACCAATAAAATTTGGAATAACAAAAAATGCATTACAAAGTGTGAGCCAAAATTAAAGGAGCTATAGTAAGTTTAAATTTAAGTTTGGTACCACCGAAGAAAAAGGAGATTGGAACTTAAATGTTTTTTTTTTTAAATAAATTAAAAGAATATTATGGCTTTTTAAATCTTAGTTATGTTTTTTGTGTTATTTAATTGATAACTTATTTATGAAGTTAAACCTGGCAATAACAACGGTTGAAATGTGGTTTTAGTTTTAGTAAATGAAGGGTTCTCATTTCCCGGGGTTTTGATCATCCCGCCAGGGAAATGGATTAAAAATGACTCTCATTCAGCGATGAAAACTAAATTCCAAATTAAAAATAAAAGAAAATGAATTAAAATATGAAATGGTGGGTTTTAATTATGGCCCAAGTTTTTTATTCTTTCGAAAGAGTTTTTTAAACAAAAAACGATATTTAGGTTAGTTAAGAGGTTTCCACAATGCCTAGATCAGGGTCTCAAACTAAAAAAATCCGGGGCCCCAGAAGGTAGAGTCTGAATGAGACTGGGCCGCATCAAGTATTCCCCAAAAAGCGATTACAAAATCATTAACTTCCAACTGTTCCAATCTGCTCAACCTTTAATGATAACAAATAAAACATTAAGGGTTCTCAAGAACTAGGCTTCACTCACTTCCTCCTCCTTGTTGCCAGAGACCTGGCAGCGCTTCTTCTTACACAACTGAGCAAAATTTGGCTTGATTGATGAAGCAAGTGAGACTCTCGGTGTAGCTTGAAGATGCTCATCAGTAAGTTTGGCCCTGAACTTTGACATGTTAAAGTTCATAATGGTAAAGAGCTTTTCATACAGATAGGTAGGCCTACTCCCAAAAAGGCACATGATCCGCTTGAACAACCTAGAAATCTCAAGGAAAGGGGAGGACATTGCTCTCATAGGGTTGTCAAACGTCTGGCAAAAGAGGAAATGTTGTAAAATGTCCGGCTTTTCTTACATTTTATATTATAATTTTTATGTATCGTTGTTACAACTATTACATCGTATGTTTACGTTGTTACAATGTACAAAGTCTATGCATTTCTGCGAACCCCGTCGATTTTAGTCATTCTAACAATCTAGCTCTGTGCTGTATTACCTGTGGTCAAAATGTTAAAGTGGTCGAGATTGGCAGCTATGACAATAAAATTGTGCTGACTGTGAGTTTAATCCGGGACGACTCAAATGAAACATTCAAAATGCCCTCCTCTTTCCTCTTGTTTTGTTTGATTATGCCCCCCGTTTGGTGTCCACGTATCTGGCAAACCTATGCTCTCATAAATTCCCCATGCTTGTCTGTTTTTTGCATTCACCTCCCTGAACTTAAAATTGCACTGAAGATCAATCAGCTCCATTTGCAGCGAAAAAAGTGGTGTTGGGTGGCGGGGGGGGGGGGGCATCTTCTACATTGAAGAAGAAAGTGTCAGCAAAAAGGTGAAAAGTGACTCTGTAGCTTTGCAATGGCATCAGTATACTTACTACTAAGTTACTATTGAATGGTGTGCCCTAGTCGATGAGCACTTTCCATATTGGGAAATGGCAGAGGTTTCTCTAAAAAAAAAAACATAACCGAAGTTTTATTCAGAATGACCTGACATTGTCATAGGCACCACTGACAAGCTACCCCTGGATTTGTAACTTATTGTTGAGCACATTCAGCTCCTGTGTAATGTCAACAAGAAAAGCTAAGTCCATGAGCCATTTGGGATCACTTAGTACAGGAGCAACCACCGCATCTTTCTCCACGAAGGCCTCAAATGTTAAAACGTGTTCAAACAGTAGGCAGGAGCAGGCAATATTGATGAATTATTGATACAAAGGAAGATGTTGCTGTAGGGAGAATGAATTTTGATTTTTTTATCGTAGAAAAGGCCTTTTTGACTAATCCTAATGTGAAAGTAAACAAGCTGAAAGGCTCGGAATTTCCCTCACTCGTAAACACTAGCGGCAATTTTAATATTGTTTCTTTGATACCGTTTCAGGTTGCTACGATGTACACTATTATGGTTTAACATTATCCACTAAATGACTTTTAAAACTTTTCTCAAAACCACATTTTGCCATGTTTGTCTCATAAACTGCTATAAACTAAACGTTTAGTCCGATTTTAAAACGGTCTCTACCATTACAATCAACTTCCAAATATATACAAACATAGTAAAAATCAGAATCAGACTAATCGGTGAGACAGCTTAGCAGTGTGGCGTTGAAATGGACATCTTAGCAGTGTGGCGTTGAAATGGACAGCTTAGCAGTGTGGCGTTGAAATGGATAGCTTAGCAGTGTGGCGTTCAAATGGACAGCTTAGCAGTGTGGCGTTGAAATAGACAGTCTAAGAGTGTCGCGTTAACATGGACAGCGTAACAGAGTGACGTTGACATGGACAGCGTAACAGTGTGACGTTGACACGGACAGCGTAACAGTTTCATCTTTCTTTTCAATACTGGGCACTGGTTGGCTGCAATTTACCCTCTAAGGTTTGTTGGTTGGTGTGCAAAATCATAAAGTTGTGAGCAAATTTTTATAGCATCAATTTTTTTTTGTGCGCAAAATTTTAGTCTACAGACACAAACACACACTTAAGTGGAAATTAGCTGCGCTGTACTCAAAAACGGCGTCTGTGAGATTACTGCTCGGCCGCGCAGCCGCACAGATTAAAGGAAAAATTGGTTGGCTGTAGCTATGTACGGATTACATCTTCCATTTCAATACTGGGCACTGGATGGCTGTAGCTATGTACGGATTACATCTTCCCTTTCAATACTGGGCACCGGATGGTTGTAGCTACGTACCGATATCTTCCCTTTCAATACTGGGCACTGGGTGGCTGTCGCTATGTACCGATTAGCTCTGACCTTGCACGCCGTGTAATTGCTCTTCCCTTGCACGCTGTGTAATGGCTCTTCCCTTGCACGCTGTGTAATGGCTCTTCCCTTGCACATTGTGTAATAGCTCTTCCCTTCCACGCTGTGTAATAGCTCTTTCCTTGCACGCTGTGTAATGGCTCTTCCCTTGCACGTTGTGTAACAGCTCTTCCCTTGCACGCTGTGTAATGGCTCTTCCCTTGCACGTCGTGTAATTGCTCTTCCGTTGCACATTGTGTAACAGCTCTTCCCTTGCACGCCGTGTAATTGCTCTTCCCTTGCACGTTGTGTAACAGCTCTTCCATTGCACGCTGTGTAACAGCTCTTCCCTTGCACGCTGTGTAACAGCTCTTCCCTTGCACGCTGTGTAACAGCTCTTCCCTTGCACGCTGTGTAACAGCTCTTCCCTTGCACATTGTGTAATAGTTCTTTCCTTGTACGTTGTGTAATAGTTCTTCTCTTGCACGCTGTGTAACATCACTTCCCTTGGTACGTTGTGATCTTTGTGTGGACTTCCCAGCCGTGTGTCAGACTTGGGTGTAAAGCTCTATCAGCACGCGGTCCACTCGATGCAGGCTAACGGCATGTTTTACCGTAATAGGTCTTAGGTAGTGGCAAGGGGCGGAGTTCTTTGAAGCCGGCCCCAGGGAACTGATCCTTAATCCAGCTGCTAAGGTTTGGTGACTTTCGGCACTTCGGCAGTGCGGCAATAGGTTTAGAAATGGCCGGCTTTAGAACTCACTTAAGATTTGTGTGGTAACTTTGCGTGAATGTCTTAAAAGAACCATTTACCATTTGGCTTTACTGTAGTTGGTCATTGGCGAAATATCTCAGTGAAACTTTAGATGCGTCATCAAATTTCCAGGGTCTAATAACGGTGGTGGTTTAAAGGGGGAGGGTGTTACTGCGTATTTCAGTTTACGGCTCAAAATACCACAGTGAACGATTAACGTGAAAAACAACACTCAAAAGAGATTAATTCAGGCGCAACACTAAAAACATGTGTGTTTGTGTGTGTTTGTGTGGGGGGGGGGAGGGGGAGGGGGGGTAATCAAGTGCAGTTAATATTTTGCAATGGGAAGGAACAGCTTGATTTAATCACATATACCCCACCCCCACCCCCCAAACTAATTTTTCGAGATAGAGGAATAAGAAATTTTCTAAATTTGAAATATATACAATATATCACAATTTCAGTGTGCATATTAGAATTCAGCTGTTTCAACAGGTGACCAAACCATAAAACTTTCCAAAACCCAATCAGGGGTTAATTCTCATGGGTTGAATTCCAGTATTTTAAGACTATGATTTATAACCTCAAAGCAAATTGAACCGTAAAATATGAATTGGATTTTACAATAAATTTTTGTTTACCTAACTAAAATGGCTTCTCATGCTTACAAATGTCAATAATCCGATTTGAACTGGTCTGAGCTTAAGCCTAAAATTAAAGCTGTTGAAGAGATCTACTTGCTCTGAAATGACGTACGATCCTGATTTAGATCTATAAGATTCTTTACTATGACTGGCAAAGACTAAGACTAACATTGTCTTTGTAAAAGCTTAAATCCAATTCAAAATAAGGTTTCACGCAACACAAATCAAGGGCTTAAATTAAAAGCTCTTCCCTTGCACGTTGTGTAATAGTTCTTCCCTTGTACGTTGTGTAATAGTTCTTCCCTTGCACGTTGTGTAATAGTTCTTCCCTTGCACGTTGTGTAATAGTTCTTCCCTTGCACGGTGTGTAATAGTTCTTCCTTGCACGTTGTGTAATAGTTCTTCCCTTTTACGTTGTGTAATAGTTCTTCCCTTGTACGTTGTGTAATAGTTCTTCCCTTTTAAGTTGTGTAATAGTTCATCCCTTGCACGTTGTGTAATAGTTCTTCCCTTTTACGTTGTGTAATAGTTATTCCCTTGCACGTTGTGTAATAGTTCTTCCCTTTTACGTTGTGTAGTAGTTTTTCCCTTGTACGTTGTGTAATAGTTCTTCCCTTTCACGTTGTGTAATAGTTCTTCCCTTTTACGTTGTGTAATAGTTCTTCCCTTGCACGTTGTGTAATAGTTCTTCCCTTTCACGTTGTGTAATAGTTCTTCCCTTGTACGTTGTGTAATAGTTCTTCCCTTTTAAGTTGTGTAATAGTTCTTCCCTTTTACGTTGTGTAATAGTTCTTCCCTTGTACGTTTTGTAATAGTTCTTCCCTTTTAAGTTGTGTAATAGTTCTTCCCTTGCACGTTGTGTAATAGTTCTTCCCTTGCACGTTGTGTAATATTTCTTACCTTGCAAGTTGTGTAATAGTTCTTCCCTTGTACGTTGTGTAATAGTTCTTCCCTTGCACGTTGTGTAATAGTTCTTCCCTTGTACGTTGTGTAATAGTTCTTCCCTTGCACGTTGTGTAATAGTTCTTCCCTTGCACGCTGTGTAATAGTTCTTCCCTTGTACGTTGTGTAATAGTTCTTCCCTTGTACGTTGTGTAATAGTTCTTCCCTTGCACGTTGTGTAATAGTTCTTCCGTTGTACGTTGTGTAATAGTTCTTCCCTTGTACGTTGTGTAATAGTTCTTCCCTTGTACGTTGTGTAATAGTTCTTCCCTTGTACGTTGTGTAATAGTTCTTCCCTTGCACGTTGTGTAATAGTTCTTCCCTTGTACGTTGTGTAATAGTTCTTCCCTTGCACGTTGTGTAATAGTTCTTCCGTTGTACGTTGTGTAATAGTTCTTCCCTTGTACGTTGTGTAATAATTCTTCCCTTGTACTGAACCTTGTATCATAGCCCTTCCCTTGCACGTTGTGTAATAGTTCTTCCCTTTCACGTTGTGTAATAGTTCTTCCCTTGCACGGTGTGTAATAGTTCTTCCCTTGCACGTTGTGTAATAGTTCTTCCCTTTTACGTTGTGTAATAGTTCTTCCCTTGTACGTTGTGTAATAGTTCTTCCTTTGTACGTTGTGTAATTATTCTTCCCTTGCACGTTGTGTAATAGTTGTTCCCCTGTTCTTTGTGTAATAGTTCTTCCCTTGCACGTTGTGTAATAGTTCTTCCCTTTTACGTTGTGTAATAGTTCTTTCCTTGTACGTTGTGTAATAGGTCTTTCCTTGTACGTTGTGTAATAGCTGTTGCATGTCGATAGTCAAGATTGCAATCTTAATATGCTTAAACATAAAGATTACAAGCATACACCTACATAAATAGATACAAAATTACTTAAGCACACACACGCATACATACATACATACATACATACATACATACATACATACATACATACATACATACATACATACATACATACATACATACATACATACATACATACATACATACATACATGCATACATGCATACATGCATACATACAAACATACATACATACATACATACATACATACATACATACATACATACATACATACATACATACATACATACATACATACATACATGCATACATGCATACATGCATACATGCATACATGCATACATGCATACATGCATACATGCATACATGCATACATACATACATACATACATACATACATACATACATACATACATACATACATACATACATACATACATACATACATTTGGCTTTTTACAACTGAGCTAAACAAACTCATATTGTCCTTTCCAATTTAGAATTAAATTATATAAATCGCATAAAAATCATGAATCCAGGATTACATCACGACGTCAACATTAAAGATTTGTTACAGGTATAAAATAAAATGGTACGTTTTCTTCAACAGGCACAACGGCTGGTCTATTGGAGCTACACACAGACTGCATACACTTCAGGGACGTCAATTGCTAGTCTATTGGAGCTACTAGCAGACTGCATACACTTCAGGGACGTCAATTGCTAGTCTATTGGAGCTACACACAGACTGCAAACGCTTCAGTGACGCCCTAGGGCAGGTAATCAAATCTTCTTCGGGCCATTATTAAAAATTGTTTCTCTATAATATGTATTCGTTCTCATCAGTATTTATACGAGAAACGAGATTTAGCCAACTTCTGATGAAAGCAAGGATTTTGTTTTTTTGGTGTTTGCCTGTTAAATACTTTGTACGATAACAGGGGCGATGATAATAACGATATTCATATAAGTCAACCTTAGCTGAACTTCATTTCATTCTCATTTCTAGAGGTGCACTCACAGCCTTAGGAGTGAGACCTGGTCCCTATTCTCTTGCTTCAGGCAATAGCAACACCTAAGCTAAGTGGCATGAGCACTTTTTACTGCTACCTTGTGATGACATCGTTGTAGTATTTCCGAGCTTAGCAAGGCGCATTCCGTTGATGCGTCCATGCCCAAGTGGGAGGTACTATGAAAACAGTTCCTTATTTCTGATAAATTTAACTGTGTAAAGTTGGTTTAGTTTCAAATTTCAAATGTGACCATGACTGCTGTGATAATGACCATAAATGATGTGGTACTGACCATAATTACTGTGATAATGATCATAACTATTGTGATACTGACCCTAACTACTGTTCTTCTGACCATAACTTCTGTGATACTGACCATAACTGCTGCAATCCTGACCATAACTGCTGTGTTACTGACCATGATTACTGTGATAATGATTATAATTACTGTTATAATGAGCATAACTATTGTGATACTGACCCTAACTACTGTTATTCTAATCATAACTGCTGTGATACTGACCATAAATGCTTTAATTCTGACCATAAAATGCTGTGATACTGACCATAACTGCTGTGATACGTCTGATTATATTATCATCGATAGATCAAAAGAAGGACTTTGGTAACAGACGCTATGTACATTTCTAAACGGAGCTGGCATTGGTGATGATAGTGGGTTAGATACTCTTGTTTACATCTAATTACGTTTTCTTCTTCAGGCATTTAGTCTGTCAAAATCTCCTTGCAGGCATTTAGTCTGTCAAAATCTCCTTGCAGGCATTTAGTCTGTTAAAATCTCCTTACAAGGCATTTAGTCTGTCAAAATCTCCTTGCAGGCATTTAGTCTGTTAAAATCTCCTTACAAGGCATTTAGTCTGTCAAAATCTCCTTGCAGGCATTTAGTATGTCAAAATCTTCTTGCAGACATTTAGTCTGTCAATATCTCCTTGCAGATATTGTGTCTGTCAAAATTTCTTTTAGGCGTATAGTCTGTAAAATTTCCTTGCAAGCATTTAGTCAGTCAAAATTTCCTCCAGGGAAAAATAAATTATCAATACATATTTTTACAGCTCAAGTCAATGATGGGTTATAGTTACATTTACCTGACTGCAATTCTTGTAAGTCTTCTTCTCGGAAATGAAGGTAATTGATATGCATGAAAATTATTTTTCTATGTTCAAAGGTTATCATTGCAAGGTCATCAACTTATCTATTTGAAGTGGATCATTTTCTTCATTTATTAATGTGCATTATGTACAACATGACATATGAAATAACGAAATGGCATAATTGTTTTTCGTGTAAGATATGGCTACATTCTTGTACGAAGATTACTATCAGGTAAATATATAATGATGTAGCATTTCGGTTTGATTTTTGAAGGTTCTCCTGTCGTGTTCACGGCCCAGCCAACTTTTGTGATGTACGGATTCCCTCAAATACTGAGCCTGGGATGTTCTTTGGATGTAAATTATGTTGTCAGGCTATGTTCTTCAGATAAGATAGATTATTTTATTGATACAAATATATTATGGAATTTTTACTTTTACATTATTATAAAAATTATAGCATTTTAATCAGAAGACACTTTATGTATATCTATCTATAAACATAAAGTTAGCAATCTATGAACTCATCAAGTGACAATATTGACTTTATTAACGATCATTTAGATTTGGTAATCGCTTGTTAAATACAAGTATAAAAGTTGCTTTTAGTCAGTCTGTTTATTTCAAAAGTTATTTAAAATTTATTGAAGGGGAAAATTGTGTTTGTAAAGTCTATAGAAATTTATTTATCAGTAAATGTTAGACAAAGACTTATAAATTTACACGTTTTTTTTGTTTTTTTTACTTCCATACACGTTATCGTCAGTGATAATATAAATCCTATAGTCCCAGAGGAGGTCAAGAAAAATAAACATTGTTTTTCAAAATGACCTAAAGTTAAAGAGAGTTTCAACCTTTTTTCTGTTACGATTTCATTACAAAAAGAGTAAACAATTATTTTCAATAAAACACAAGACCCATTGTTAAGGGGTTATAATTAATCAAAGACGTTAATTTAGTTAAATGATAAATATCTTTAACAGTTTCAGTTTGGGTGAGGAGGTTGGGGGGTGGGGTGGATCCATTAATTGAGTAAACAAAATAGGGGGGGGGGTAGAGGGATGGAAATGTTTTACAATTGGGACCGGAAAATGGGGGGGGGGGGTAGATTAGTTGACGTCAACAGTCATGTTTTCTCTATTAACATTTTAATCTTCAAACTTGACTGATTATTTCATCGTTTTAACAAATTTAACGAGTGTAATTTTTTTTGTGGCTTTTAACAATATAATATTTATTTAATGTGTGTCTGTCTGTGCACTGCTGATGGTTGGTCAGAACGTTAGCACACTTTGTTAGTGCAAGAGAAGTCAAAAGTTGATCTCTCTCCACCTGTAGATTCTGTTTGTCACGAATGACCATGGTGGCATGTTTGCGATCATGTTGCATGTATAAAACAAGGACAAGGTTCAAGTGTCATGTGCAGTCAAGATAAACGATATTGATTTAGTAGGAATACGATAATTTTTTAATTAGGGGAAAGTAAAGTGAGTAACACTATTAAAAATGCTGCGTACAAGCATTTGCAAAATCTGTAACATATATTTTGCATCACAAGTCATGTGGAAATACCAAGTTCAACATCACCGACAATGCACTCTGAAGCATAAGAAATTACCACCTGCTCTTCAACAAAAAAAAAAAAAAAAAAAAAAAAAAAAAAAACAAAAAAAAAAAAAAACACCCTACTCTCAAAAAAAAAAAAAAAAAAAAAAAAAAAAAAAGATTCAACCAATGCTAGTAGCTTCCAGGAGACAGAGAGAACTTATGGGAATTATAGCTCACACTGACAATGCTTCTATTTTAATTTCTGAATGGTTAGATGAAGATAATTATGACTTATCTGTCATATCAGTTCCTCAAGATGCAAATGATAAATCAGCTACTATGTCCATTGTTACGATAGAGCAACACCTATGGCTACTCCCTGGGAAGGTTATAGCAGTTAGAAACTATGCTACAATGCTATTCTAAAATCAAGTTTGAAAGAATATTGCAATGGCTACATACGATTAATAAATGATCGATTTCGGTGTTTCAAATCAAGTTTGAAGGAACATTGCAATAGCTACGTATGATCCATAAGGGTTTAATGCTAATGATCCATAAGGGTTAAATGCTTACATAAATGATAAACAATTTCTACAACTGAAATTGCGTATAAAATTTATTTTTTCAATGTATTTATTTCCAGTACAGTCAAATGGACGAAGATGAGGAAATTCAATCTATTTTTATCACAAGAGGCAAGATCATTTTATGTTATGATTGCATTCAATTTTTAAAATGTCCCCTTTCTTTTCAAAAAGTTGAACTATTTATTAAACCTTATTTCATTTTAACTCTTCTTATTGATAAAGTCCGCTGTTGTGAGTGCATATCTGAATGCAAGGTTTTTACTTAAATAAAATTGTTAAATGTAGTTGGATATAATATATGTCATTTTATTAATTTTTATATGTGTTGATGCACTTTTAGCAAATAATTAATTATTTCATTATTCCCACCAGTGAATTGTTTCATGAGTTTTTTAAATTGCTATTTTTGTGTGGTTATCTTGTTGTTGTCTTCATTTTTTTTTAAAAGGACCAACAAAACAGAAACAAACTGAAACAGTTGCGTTCATAACACTGTTTGAACCCGCCACGGCAAAAGCGGATCTTGGTGCTATGAACGTTACGGGTCATTTAAATTATTATGACACTGAAGGTGAAGGCTATCTGGATGTCGAATGGCAAGAACCTGGAGAAAAACAAGCATCCGTTTATGAATGTAAAATAAAAACAACAAGGGGTATGAAGAAGGCAACTGAAAGCATTAACTACATTGTTCCAGATAATAAACAACTTTTAGATAAATTATCTGCATTGGAAAAGTCAACTTTAAACAAATTTGAAACGATTGAAAAAAGTACTTTACAAAAAATTGATGAAGTTAAGATAAGTGTCAATAAGGAACTTGTAGATAAAATTTCTACTTCTGAAAAAGCTACGTTTCAGAAAATTGATGTCGTTGAGAAAAATGTCAAAAAGGAGCTAGGCGATAAAATTTATAATTCTGAAATGGCAACTTTTCAAAGAATTGAAACAGCTGAAATGAATGTCAAAAAAGCACTAATCGATAAAATGTCTGTTTCTGAAAAGGCTACTTTACAAAAAGTTGATACCGTTGAGAAAATTGTCAATCTTCGTATACCAGCAATTGAGAATAACCTGGCAGCCGTACAGGCACGACACATGGAAACAGGGGATGCAGTCGGCTTCAAGAATGAATTTGACCAAATAAGCGGGCATGTAAGAAGGCTAACAAAAATAGTCCCATTTAGAGTCTCTTACAAGACAGCCCCCACTGTCTATGCCGCCATTTCAAAACTTGACGTTGGAAATGGCAGCAATCTTAGGATTCGGTTCTACATTGTTAACATCACTACGAGTTCTTTCACCCTTGAGATTGATACTTGGGCTGATACAGTTATGCATGAAGTTCAAATCAATTGGTTGAGTTACGACTCTAAGTAATTGATTCCTGCAAGGCCGAAACATGAACTGTTTGCCTTGGGTTCATCCCATTTTTACTTAAACAATTGAACTTTCCTTACTGTAAAACGCAAATTTAGACGTTAAACTAATAAAAGTTGTCAATAGACTTTTTCGTTTTAATTCTGAAGAAAATAGTTTGATTTGGGCAATAAATATTGAATTTAGAAATGTAGAAATAAAAAAAAATAAAATAAACTTAATTCGCATAAAGATGAACCATCTTTGTTATTATTATATTTGTTGATTCAAACGTTACAAAAATTAGTTAAAATTAAATGAAATAATTACAAATTTTGTTCAATACAAAAATGTTAACGTGAAGTTTATTGAATTATTCTGAATATCGATTTATTTCTTGTTAAAAAATGTTAAAACGAAGAAAATTATTTTTATATCTCAATAAGAAAATAATATTCTTTTAAACTGTTGAGTCATCTTGGAGACCATTTGAATTTGATGTAGACAATTCAGTTAAGATAAGAGTTTCTTATTAATTTTATATTCTCAATATTGGCTTAAAAATGCATTGCATATTTTTAAGGCTTTTCGTGTTGAGCCTGCTGATTTACTTTGGTAATATCTTTAGATAAAAAAAAAAAATATAAAATAATGGATCTCAATGTGAAACTATTTAAGTCTAATTATTTTTGAGCCAAACAATCCAATGAAATCTGGCCACGTCAAATAGGAAGCTGGTAAAATTTAAATTTTTTGTCACAAAACGAAGGAAGGGTTATAAAAGATCAATTATTTTTAGTTCTAATGTTTATATTAAAATCTACTTGTTTTGCAAAGTGCCTCTATGGATTCGGCAAATTAGTATAAAACCAACTAGTTCGAAGTTAATATGTATGAAGGAATGTTGCTCAAACGAAAGTTAAATTAAAACGGAAGGAGTTTGGGGGGGGGGGGATTATTTAAAATTAATTTTAAAATTCTCATTGCATCTTCCCTTTAAATATCTTTATATATTAAAAAAAAAAACACAAAAAAACAGTTTTGGTAAATATATTTCGAATTATTTAACACAAGCTAAATTTATATAAAAATATTGTCTCACTGAATTAAACTTTATTATTATTATTATAAAAGCCAGCTGGGTTTAAGTTCCGTTTATACCAGGGGTCTTAAACTCGTGGGCAGCTACATGACAGCAACGTTTAATGCTAATACGCAGCTCCGAGAAGCTGCTCCGAGGCAACCGTTTCGTCCCAGCTACATCGCGAATTAGTTGCGTTATGGAAACTCTCTGTAGAATCCCTCTTATAGGGCGTCTAACGCTTCCCCGGGATGGGTGGGGGAAGATATTAGGACGCAAATTTTTCCATCCCGACTCCTGACAAAGTCGATCGTGTGCATTGTGTGCAAACACAGTGTCGGACCGACCGGGTGTCTTTGGGTTAGGACGGCCCCGGCGGAGACCCTGGTTGAGCAGACTCGGGTGGGGGCTGTCCTGACAAAGGGACATCCCAGACGTGCCGCTCCGCGGCCCGATACCGGGTTGGTGAGGGGTGTTTTGGTGAGGGCATAAAGAGCGCAAGCTCGACGGCCCGCTGACGCCATTTCTTAATGTAATATTTCAGTGCTAATGTGGCCCGCGCGTTTTCCCCATTTTCATTTCTATAATGTGACCCTCCGCGACAGTTTCAGTCGAATCGCACCGACTTATCTGATTCTGATTTTTATGATTAAGTTTGTATAGATTTAGACGTTGATTATAAAGGTACAACCCGTTTTAAAGTCGGACTAAAAGTTTTTATTTTATAGAATTTTATGAGCAGACATGGCGGCCAAAGTGTGCGGTTTTGAGAAAAGTTAAAAAGTGAATTAGTGGCTAATGCTCAACCAAAAGTGTGTAAATGGTAGCAAGCTGACACAGTATCAAAGCAGTGCCGTCTTAAGGCATGGGCCCAGTGGGCACTGGCCCAGGGCCCCGCGCTTGTAGGGGGCCCCACGTTTCTAGGAGACCCACTCTTATTGTTAATGAATATTGAAAGATTTTGACAATTTAATTTGATATAAAATTCCCTATTTCCCAATTTTAACCCACGATATTTATCAGCATATTACAAAATAATATTATAAATGCGAAACAAAGTTGGACAATTTTTTTTAATTTAAAGAGGAATAACTCTAGTCAACAAGTTTTACTTTACCCATATGTGAATCGAATAAAATAAGGTAAGAATTTATGTTTACAATCATGTTAGACAAAGATGTTTGCCCCGGGCGGTAATAATCCTTGCTACGCCAATGCTCAGTAGTGAAAAAAGTGAAGAAAAGACTATTCTAGCACCAGTTAAAGTACGACTGAAGTTAATTAGCATTATTTAATGGGATTTGTAGGTCACCAATAAATAATTATTTTTCAAAGTAAATTTATTATTAAAATAAGAAACAATATTTTTATATTTTTCTAAACTGAAAAATGTATTTTTTTCTGTGTCTGAAAAACCTATTTGGCTAATGTGAAGAGATAGCGCCCTGACGTCATTTGCGTATTTTGTCCCTGGTTCCAATAGAGTAAAATCTGTTGGAAATTGACAAAATGCTGAAAAATAATTGCGCATTGTTTTGCACACCACATTATTTATTGTGTAGTGACGTCATGTGTTTATGCTGTCTTGTCTAGTGCTCCATGTATATAGGACTCCATGTTGTTCACCTACAATAAAACGTTTAGCTAACCTTGATGGTTGCCTTTGCTTGTTTTATTATCTTCCTTGTGAAGTCCCTTAGCAACTTAATATTTTCAACAGGTTATGGGCCCAGAAAGCTATATCCCGTATTAAGCTGTTGCTGATTCGATTTGTTTGTGGTTTGTATTCGCCATGGTGAAAAAAAAACGCGGAGCTATCTCTTCACATTTACCTCGATTTGATTAATGGGAGTCGCTTAGTCACTTCCTTGTTTGGTCACGTGATGTGAGTAAGCCATCACTAGGCTGCTACACACAACAAAAGATACTTCATCAGTGCTTCCCCAATGTCATGTTACTTAAAAATGTTACCTTTCGAAATATTCTGGAATACATTCGTTTTTTAAATGAAATCCATAAATGTGACAATAAATATACGTCAGTTATGATTAAAGGAAGAAAGTTATTTCAAGAAAAATTTGTGAGCGATATTCGATGGGAACTATCAATACTATTATCGGCAGAATTAAAGGAAGAAAGTTATTTCAAGAAAAATTTGTGAGCGATATTCGATGGGAACTATCAATACTATTATCGGCAGGATGTTGTTGAGCTCCGTGCGTGCTCATGACGTCATTTGCGTTTTTATTCAATATTGATGCAGGAGTCATTCCCCTTTGTTTATTTTATTGTTAATTTTCATTGGACGAAATGTAGTGTGTAACGGGCTACTGTTGTCAAGCACTAGTGTGTTGTATACAGCCTACCGGAAATCTTACTCGTTTTTACTCACATCACGTGACAAAATAATTGACTAAGCGACTGCCATCACACCACAACAATCATTTCCCAGTCTTCGTTTTTATATCGGGGCACTTGTGCCCTGGAAAGGGCAGATAAATACTTGATTAAAAATAATTTTGTTCATTTTTTTTTTTAAAATTATCTTTTGTTACAACTTATAACAAATGGTTTTATCACAAATACCTTAATGGGGCTGACCTATTAAATGAATGCAAGCGTCCTAAGAACTACCTGTTTCTTGATAAAAAAAATTGTGACTATAAACATTGCTTTGTATCATGAACACATAATTACACACAACTTGAAATCTATATTTCCATATGTTGAAATTCCACCCAAAGTGTTCATGCCCACTAGGATAACCAACTGTACAGGCGAAAGTTCGTTTTCAAGATTGAAGCTCATAAAGAATCAGCTTCAATGGGACAAAAACATTTGCACTGGCTTTCACTTATGTGCATGGAAGATGGCATCGTTAAGACCAGGGTTTCTTTCAGCTATATCTCGGGGCAAAAATATGACCAATAATAAATCAACTGGCACTGCTGGCACTCCCCCCCCCCCCGAAAAATCTGAATTGCCCTCCCCCCCCCCCCGGGGGGGGGGAAATTTCTGAAATAAACACTGGTTTTGACCATTGACTCAATATCATCCAGATAGTGCGCCACTTTGCCACGAGTTACACGTTTGTGAACGAAAAGATCACGACTGCAGTGGAAATACTGATCTTCTTCTCTCCTGAACCACACGCCCACGGGGCTAATGGTGTTAGAGTGGAACCAGAGTCAAAAGTTAAATTAACCACATGAAGACCACCCAGTCATTATATTGTTCAGATTACAATGAAAATAGAAGTGATATGAAACATGAGGTGGACCAAACCATTTTTTAAAAATTGATTTTTTTTTAAAATTCATTTTTTTTTACATTTGATTGTAAGTGGTTGTTTTTTTTTGTTTTTTTTTTTGGGGGGGGGGGGGGTTCGGGTTTTTTTTTTTGGGCGTATTTTTTAAAAAATGGTGGGCTAATCTTTTGTGACGAATTGTGACGATGTCTGTTAGAGGAAAAAACAGGGGTGGTGGTGTCAACATTGGGAAAACATGTTACGTCAATTATGGATCCCCCCACTCCCCCCAATTTAACCGGCTATCAGCAGAACTAAGGCATTTATTAGTTAGTTTTACTTTGTCAATTTAATGGGTTAGGGCAGGGGTTCTCAAACTGTGGGTCACAACCCCTTCAGGCTTGGGTCACGTAAAAAAAAAAAAAATGCAGGAGTCGCTTGATAATTTCAGAATTTTGAGAGGGGGTTGGGTTGTAAAATGTCCATTTTTTAAACTTTAAATTTAATTTTTAAAATTTAGATTACATTTACAGGCTTGTTTCTTATTGCTACTACACCCTTATTAAACTTTCCTTTTAAGTACAAAATGTTAATACATTATATTTCCTTTTAAATTCATTTGAATTTTCTTGAAATTCGTTTTCTCCTGGTATGGATATTTAACAAATAAATTCACACCTGTTTAATTAAAAAAAAAAATATGAAGAGTAAAGAAAATACGTGTTTTCTTAATATGCATTTATTGAAATGGTTGATAAATACCATATCTTTTGTACTCAATGAACTTTATAAATAAACAAACTGGCTAGAGATTCAAGACCTGTAACTTAACCATAATATAACAATCATTGCAATCACTGGCAGCACTGGTCAGTGGTGTTAACAAACAAGATATAACGAAAATGAAGCA